ATTTCCCCCACCTCTTCACAAGATACAGACAACCAACCCCTCAGGTATGTACAGGCAGCACCCAGCTGTGTTCTATGTACAGGCACGAAGACGGTCTATATACATACAGCAGCTGCTGCACCAACGTGCAGGTTTTCTTCCACTCCCCCCCCCCCCATAACTATACACAAGTCCAGTCCCTATTTACAGTGGGCGTTGTAGGCTGTCCCTCTCGAGTCGAGGTGTCAAGTGCAATTCTCTTCTCCCCCCCCACCCCCCATGTACAGGCTCAGTGAAAATATTCACATAGTGCTAACTTGTCTTTCGCCCCTACCCATCTGTGCAGCTCTCCGTAAGGCACTGCTGGGCTGGGGGCAAAATGAAGCCACAGCGCTGGCCGCTCAGAGCAGGCAGTTGGTGATCCAACACTGTCAGCTCGATGCTGGCCGCTCCCGGGCGTCTGTTCTCCAGCTGAGGCTGCTGTTCCCCTGGCCAGCAGGAAAAGAAGTCCCAACACAGCTCAGCGGATGGCTCTTCACTCCAAGGCCTGTCCATCACCCCCTGGCAGGTAAGTTGTCCAAGATACCCAGTAGATGGAAGACGAAGTGGTACAAGTGGGCCCAGAGGGCACCGCGAGGCCTGCGCTCCTAAATGTGCCAGGAGGGGACACAAGGAAGGACTGTTGAGCAGGGACCTGGCTGGCCACACCCCAGCTCCCTGTCCAGGTGCCCAAAAGGACAAGCGCTGCCCTCCTGCCTCAAATCCCAAAGCTGTTTACATGCCCTGAGTCACTACTGGGCCCAGCCCTGCTCCGTGAGTGAGGAGCCTGAAGGAGGAGCGAGTCTCCAGTTGGCATCTTTCTGTCCCAGGATGCAGTGGACGCTGGCTCCAAGCCAGGAAACTGGGTTCCCCCAAGAGGGAAGGAGGTGGGGCCAGGTCTGGAGGACAGCACCCCTGGCACTGTCCCCAAAGCTTACCCTCTGCTCATGGTCTTGGTGAAAGCGGTCTCCCATATGGCGAAGCCGAGCCCCAATGGCCTGCTCCAGGTTGAACGGGGTTCTAGGGAGATGCCCATTAGGCCCCCCTGCTCTTTGCTCTGGCCCCACGGGGGCTTCCTCTTGGGTGCAGGGTGCTATTGGCTGCATGTTCACTGCAAAGAAGGAAAGGGGTGTCAGGCGTGCAAGGGTTTCTTCCGGCAGGTTGGATGAGGCTGAGCAGCAGGAGGCATGGGGGGAGCACAAGTGTGGTTTCCTATCTCCTTGGCAACTGTGGGCTGCTGCAGCTTAGTGGGATCATCTCAGGACACGGCTTTCGGCTCGCCTCTGCACTCAACCGGCTGCTGCCTGGAACTCGGCTGGGGGCTTGAGATCTTAAGGGGCAGGCAGGAGGAATCCCCACGCTGGCAGGGCAGGGGCGCTGCCTGCCATGGATCCTGGTTTCAGCAAGCAGCCTAGGAAGATCCTGGCAGGGCCCTAGCGGAGACCGCGGGCACCGCCCCATTGGCCGCTGCTCCCGCCCTCTTCAGGCTGTTCGTGGGCACCGAAGGGCTGGGCTGGCGGCAGCGTGGCTTTCCTGGAGGGCTGGGGAAGCCGGACAGGGCTCCAGGATGGGGCGAGATGAGGGCCGCCCGAAAAAAAGCTCCGCCAGAGGCGCGGAACCAGGGTGTCCACTCCCCAGCGGAAAGCAACACAGCCCTCGGCCTGACGAAAGATGCCGCTCCAGCCACGCCGAGTCGGGGCATCCGCGGAGGGCGATGCAGAAGGAGAGCGGTCGCGCCGCGCCGCGCTCCCATCAAGGCTTGGGACAAACTCGTGGAAGCACGGCAGGACCATCCACCGCCCTGGCCACCGCGCGAAGCAAAGCCACTCACCGCGGACGCTCCCAGGAGGCTCCAGCGCCCGGCCGCAACGGTAGATGCAGTTCAGCCCGGGTGGCAAGGCGAGCGGCGGCCGGCAGACGGAGGGCGGCAGGGCCACCGTCCCCCCCACAGGGAAGGCTGGGCTCCCGGACACAGCTGCTGTCGGCTCGGCGAGGCTCCGGTCCTGC